AAACAAGTATTATAAAAAAAAATTAAGTCAATTCCTACTTAGGTCAACAAAAAAAAAATTATTTTAGTATAACTTTTTATTAACCCGTGGTCACTCGCGCCTGTTTTTGCTACCATCGTTACTCGCAGGGTGTAGAGAACACCCCCAAACTTTAAACACGTGTATTTAATTATGAAAAAAAATTAAGTTTAGGATACATATTTATAAAGTACAAGATGATTTCTGTATTATACAAATAAAATTATTAAATTTATTGCATACAAATAAGAAAAACATTTATTTAAATCGTGGTTCTACGCATTCTTTTTTGGAATTCTGTTTGGTGTATCTCGTTTTGCTGGGGTGTACAGAACACCCAACGTAAGGGATCTCTCACGGGTTAAATAAATACAATTAATATAAATATGCATATACATAGACAGAATCAAAAATTAAGCGACAAAATAGAAAGCGATTTTCCTTGCAATTTTCCATTTTCCTTTCTATATAGGGTGCTGGACTATTATTTTGTTTGTTACTATTTATTTATTAATAAAATTTAATTATTCCAATAAAATAGTATAGTAAAAAATAAATCACAATTTCAGAAATTAGGCCATCGCAGATGAGATTCGAACTCATGACCTTTGCATTAGAAGTCCAACGCACTATCCATTGTGCTACAGATACAGGAAGCAATTTTCCTTTTTATATATGCTGTTGAACTACTGTTTTTGTTTGTTACTATTTATTCCTTGATTTCATTTAATTAATGAATTAATATTTGAAAAAAAAAATATTAACATCAAGTGTTATCCACTACAAGTTTAAAAAAATGTATTTGAACTTGAGTGGATGAATAAAAAGTATTTTAATAACGGTTGAAAATTTGAACAAGATATATATATATATAGGGAGGGAGTGAACTATATATAATAGTAGGAATTGAATAAAGTCCAAAATCGAAAATCTTTTTGTGTTAACTTTTTTTTAAAAATTTTAATATTATTTTCTGATTTCATATCCTTTAGAAGGCCGCAGTAACCTAGTGGTTTTGGTCCCGAACTCGTGCCGGCGTGTAATGAGTTCGAGCCTTAGTGCCATGTAGAGGGGCTGGTGCATGTTAAATCTATCGAGGCTCAAAGTTCTTCTGTTGCGGGGTGTAGTAGTTTGGAGGGTGGTCAGGTCAGAAGTCGTTCTCGTCACCTGAACGAGTTCCGTCCCCATTAACCCTTGTGTTGTTTTATAGTGCCTTAATAAACACTCAATCGATATCCTTTGGAGCTCAACATATTTCAGTGGCGTATACAAGGGGGGATCCCTAAGTCCGGACTCCCCTCAAAGCCCTTGTTGTTGTTTTTTCGATTGATTATAATCTTATGTACATAGTACGTAAAATTTAATTATTTGTTACTAATGAATTTTTTATTAATTAAGGACAATTATTCATTCAATAATTAATTTTTTACTGTTTTTTTTTGTTCCCCAAAATCGACAAAATTAAAAAAAAATTTAAAAAATGTTGGGCAGCGTATTGGAGCATGATACGAGAATAGTGGACTTTTGACCCTGGAGCTCCCCCTTGAAAAAATTTCTGTGTACGCTACTGGCATATTTTATAGCATTTCTCATTAGTATACTTAAGTTAATTTATTTTTCCGAGTACAAATGTGCTTCATATTTCATCTTCTATGCTGTAATGTAAAATAGGTTTCAAACTCAGAGGTTCACGCAAAGAAAAAAAAATGCCCATTTTTGGAATATTATTTAATTTTAAGAATACTGTAGAAGATATTAGTTTTTGCGTTGCAACGTCACAAATTTATAAAAAAATTGGAACAGCCTTCTATCTAAAAAATTTTCCAAGTTTGTGTCGGACTGATTGACAGTAGACGAGAAGATAGCCTTAAAAATAACAATTCGAACAAATAAATAGTTCGTATTGGGGATAATAGCCTTTGTTGCTCCATATATATCCTATAAAAAAAAAGTTCGAGTTTGAAGAAACAACAAAGTTGAATATTTAAATTTAAACATAAACACATGAAGTTTGCCATTTTGATTTCCATATCCGAATTTTATAAATGTGATTGGTTTTTAAACCTCAGCAAAAATACAAATATAAAGTAATGTAAATAGGTTAGTATTTTTAAAATGTAGTTCTTAGAACTTTTTCTTTTATATATGCTCATCGTTTCAAATTATACTACTATTCATTTTTTTCAATATTTCTATTTGTATAATGTATTCGTTCAAATAAATCTTGAAAAGAATCTAATAACTTTTTTCTTTTTATACCAGTACTTTTGTTGATACAATAAATATTAATATTAAATAGAAGAAACAGCATGCATTTCATTTATGTATACTCGTAGGCAACTTAATATACATATACTATATATAACTCAAGATTCCAAATTTATTGTAAAATTTAAGTTTTGTGAAGCTGTTTTACGCGCAAAACGGGGTGAAATAATTGGGGCCATTAGTAAGCTGATTAATTTTTTAAATCGGAAATTAGTTAATTTTTAATTATATATGTTGAAAACTGATCATTCATCACTGATCACCAGGGTTATTGGTGACGGACTTAGTATTTAGTAACTTAGATCCCCTTTCAAGTGACGAGGACGACACCTGAGGGCC